TCCGCTGTAGTGCAGCAAGAATAATATGGATACTCAGTTTTGCAACAAATCTAATACCTCACTCGTACATTTAAAAATCCAATACCTCACTCGTAAATTTAACGAGATAAACTAATTTGCGCGATTCTTCGAAACCGCCGATTTAACGAGCTAGAGCGTATCCGTGGCAACCAAAGATACCAGCCAGCGCCCCGCCCCTCCTTCTTCAACTCTCATTGGGTGATGCGTTTTCCCGGAAGTCAGGGTAAAATATAAATATTTTCACCCCTCGTCGTTTTTACTCCTCCCTGCAAGTCGTTTGTATAGAAAATCCTCCCGTGAGCCGACCCTTTTAATTGTAAAAATGGCAAGTGCCAAGTGCGTCGCAAAAGGTAAGACATTTAATATGGGTTCATATATTTAGCAAAACGTCGCTTACGTAACCGCAGTTCAGCTACGATCCTGCACAACTATACATATTTATTTCTGTAGCGCTTTCGCAACAACTGCAGCTGGAGCAAAACGCTTTACAGAACCCTTTTCTTGACACTTGCATGTGACTACACAATTCCATGACCTTTGTGTCACATTTTTATAGAGACGTAAATAAAGAGTGCATGATTTAACTTGGATACAGCCGCGGTCTGCTTTATTTGTCATACTGGTGTTAAATCTCCCTGGAATAAACAATTAAGTAATGCAATGAGATTCCGACGAGCCATTATTACGTATACATGTATAGGTAGCTGTTAAAAAGTTTCGCCTTCTGGGCGCGTGACTCAGCATTTATACAAGTGTGTTGCGCAACTTAACAATTGCGGCGATTTCATTATTTCTTCACGAGGTTTTGCTTTGACTTGGCATGAGTCTAGCATATCATACAACTTTTCTAACGGTCCTGCTTTTCAGGCTTGAGAAAAAGAATGCTACTCGGATGTGCTTTCAAATATGCTTTTGATAACGTGTCGAACAATGTCTTGTCGTTACAAATGCGAATCAACATGCAGTGTTCACAATGTGAATATTTTCCAAGGGTGTGCTGCGCCCGGACCCGTGCCAGCCGGCTCCATCAGACTATACAGCATGAGGTTCTGCCCTTTTGCTCAGAGGACCCTACTGGTGCTGAATGGAAAAGGGATCAAGTAAGTTATTCACCCGCTCGGTGCGATTTAAAACCAAACGTGACGTGTTTTTTTTCTCTCCGTTTTGTACATTAGGTACGATATTGTCAACATCAACCTGAGAGACAAACCCGATTGGTTCCTGGAGAAAAATCCTTTGGGCCAAGTGCCCACACTGGAGACGTCGGCGGGGGAGGGCATTTACGAGTCTCCCATCACCTGCGAGTACCTGGACGAGATGTATCCTGAGAAGAAGCTGCTTCCCGACAAACCATTTGGAAAAGCCGAGCACAAGATGTTGCTGGAGAAATTTTCCAAGGTCTCAGAGCTTGGTCATGGAACAAAATAAACTCAATTTATCACTGTTTGACAACTGCAATCTGAATTTTGTGATAGTTAACACCATTAACCTACAAGATTCCAATGGGCAGACTGAAAGGCGAGGATGTCTCCGGACTTCATACGGAACTGACGCAGAAGTTCCGAGAATTAAACGAGGTCTGTTCGCCTATTTTCTCTTTGTGCTTTGATTATCAAGACGGAACTGCGACAATAGCTCAGCCTATATTCCAGCACCTGGCAAAGAAGAAGACAA